ACTGAATACCCTAAGGGTGTGAGTCCGAAAGGGGGATTCAGAGCTTCTCAGTCACTCAGAGCCAGTTCTGCTGGGCTCTACTCGACATTATTTTGCTTATTTGACTTACTTTTAAAGTTCTGCTCCTTTAAATGACTACAATGTACAGCCGTTCAGCAAGACACAATTCTGTTCCATTCTGCTCTTGTGCAGATGGGACAAGAGAGGGCCAGATTAGTCCAGATGACACAGCAAGAGCCAGATCCCAGTCTCCTGATCTCCAGAAAGTTAGCAAACTGATAATCCAATGAAGGCATTACATAGACTTACAGTTGGCACAGAGGGTGAAGAGAGAAAACAGAACTGCAAAGACTTCTAAACAACCTATCTTTCTCCCACGCATTATTTAAACAGAAGCTTTACTGTTTCAGATTTTGCAAAATTCATCCATTCAAAATATTACAATATATCCACAATGCAACCAGACTGAAAATAAAGTAACAAGAACTCGAGAGTGATTTAACTGAAAACTGCCCCACTTAGACTCAAGGATTTGAGATATTAGTCCCTAGTTGATGCTTAAAGAGGTTTGGAAGGAGTGGTCTCCCTGGAGGAAGTATGTCACTAGGGGCGAGCTTTGGGGGTTTAAAGCCTTGTGTTCTACTTCAGCTCTCTGCTGAAGTACTCAGCTTCCTCACTCCTGCAGAGCCTACAGCTTAGGCCATGTTTCCCTGACATGATGGACTCTCTCCCTCTAGAACCATACACCCAAATTAACACTTTCTTCTGTAGTTGCTACAGTCCTGGTGTTTTATCACAGCAACAGAAAGATAACCAGTAGACCAAGTAGACCAAAAACAAACTCAAAATGGTCTTTCTGAAACTCCCTTCTGTGGGTCTGAGCTTTGCTCCAGGACATGTTTCCTCTTTGTTAGTGAAACTTTACTTCTAAAAACCAAAGAGGTGTGAGTCTTTTTATCTACCCATTTATTTTGTTTCTAGGACTTCTTGCTGATCAGAAATGACAACAGTGGTGGCCTTTCATTGCATTGCTCCTTTGACCCTTTTTAATTGTAATTTAATTTTTTTTTTAAAGTCCTAGTTCATTTCTGGGTTTTAAAAACCCACTAGTCCCTGAGCTTGCTCCAGGATCAGACTACCCTGTAAAACTTCATCCCCTCAAAACCCTATACGAGCCTGCCTGCCATTCAGTTTCCTGCTGCAGCTCTCGAGCAGAGGCAGTCACATTCTTATGTCTTTTACAATAAATCATGTGTGAGATTTGATACGTGGTGTGACTTTGGGTTAATCCTTGGCTTCTGACTACCAGGATACCTTATCCCTCAGAGCTGCAATATTTACATTTAAAGTTTATAATATATTAATAGTCTCTCCTACATTATTTTTATTTTATATGCTTTTTAAATTGCCATATGTGTCAAATAGCATTATGATGTCTTGGAACAAAGCTTTTGGTTATTTTTTGTTTGGGTTTTTAGTTTGGTTGGTTTTGAGTTTATGGTTTTCTGAGACAGGGTTTCTTGGTGTAGCCTTGGCTGTCCTAGAACCCTCTCTGTAGACTACGATAGCATGGAGCTCAGAGATCCACCTGCCTCTGCCTTCTGAGTGCTAGGATTAAAGGCCATTGCCCAGCTCAGAACAAAGTATTTCTCAACACAGCCTATTTTTGATGTCTCCCCAACCAACTTTTAGAACTATGTGTGAGCAGTTGTCAAAATTATTTATTGATCATAGTGAGGTTTGGAAAGTCCTTGTTCAGTCAAATGTAATGGGGAAGAAAGGTTATACAAAGCCTAACACAACTGTGTTGGGGAAGCAAGATGTTAGAAATAAAAACACCATTGTATCAAAAGTTGGCTTGACTTCAGAACAAGTAAGTACAGTTCTATGCTGGCTTCTGCCTCCCTACCCAGTCCTAGGATCCCTGATGGGAGCAGGACACTTCTTCCAAAGGCTAATCAAGTATGGCCTCCAATGGTTAATCCTGCAAAATTGTTACTTGGTAAACAGCAGCTCTCTCTATCTCTAGATAGAGTAGTACTATATCTCTATCTTATTTCCACCCTGTCCTGCCAAGTTTGATACCTCGTACTTCTTGATAAGGTACTTCTTGATTCATTAAAACCCTGGAATCGCTGGGCAGTGGTGGCACACGCCTTTAATCCCAGCATTCAGGAGGCAGAGGCAGGTGGATTTCTGAGTTCGAGGCCAGCCTGGTCTACAGAGTGAGTTCCAGGACAGCCAGGGCTACACAGAGAAAACAGAGAAACCCTGTCTTGAAAAACAAAACAACAACAACAACAACAAACCCTGGTATCTCTGCAAGGAAAGCTTCAAGTTTAGACTTCGGAATCAAAGATCAGATCTGATTTTCTGAAACTATGCAGCTATCTGGGTTGTTCTCAACCCTTGGGCCTCAGACCTACTGGGCAATGTCTAAGGCCCCATCCATTTTTTTTCAATGATGGCTTTATGCAAGCTGAGCCACACCCTAGCTTGTAAAAGATGTAGTTAATCTTTAACCCAGAAGTGTGTGGAATTACTCGATTTATAGGGAAGTCCTTATCCATTTCCTTACTCACCCAGTGTTAAGGATTAAACAACATACAGAAAATGCAGAAGATGAATTGGATTCCCTGAGATCTAAAGTAACTCCAATGAAGGAATTAACTTCTTGACTGTTTGAAGGATCCTAAAATCAATGTCCCAGGGCTGTCTTCTAGGCTATGTAGGGGGAAAAAATCATTTGATATTTTAATTTTATCTTCAGTAGTCTCTGTTTAAAACCTTAAAAGCTATTGATTTTTTTCCACTGTAATCTATGCTTAGATAGCCACAAAATTCACAGAGCTTCAAATCGGTGAAAGTCCAAGGGACAATGCTGGAGATCTCATCTAAAGGAGGAAGCTGGCATCATCAGATTCCCCATACAACGGCACAGGTATATAGTGTAGGCCATTCAGGAGCCAACAAACCTGAACAAGCAGGGAGAATTCCCAGAACCAGAGAGAGCTCCAGGACAGCAAAGGGCACTTCGAAGAGCTTGCCTTTGAAAGTTGAAGGGTGTCTGATTTGATAGTGCACACCTTAAAAAAAAAAAAACAAAAAACAAAAAAAAAAAAACCAAAAAAAAAACCCAGCCCTTGTGAGGCTCAGGCAGGAGTTTTACCAGTTCAAGGCTAGCCTGGGCTACAGATTGAAATTGACTTTTTTTTTTTTTAATACTAAAAGGGCTTTTCAGCCATCACCTGGTTTGTAAAAAGCCAAGGGAAAAAGAAAACAAGGCTGTGGGGCAGAGTTGTCCCAATGGTCCCTTAAAACTCTGTGAGTTATCTGAGGGCAGGGTTGCAATTACTTCTCTGGGGGAGCTTTCCATGTATTTGTTAAGGATTAACCTTCTGATATCTTTTAAAACAAACCTCTAAAACCACTCAGGAACCTTTCCCTTATCAAAAGCTCTTGAGTTAATTTTTTTCCTGTTATTACTACTACAGGGATTTATTATCCTGAACTTTCAGTTTTCTTTTACTTATTTCATGGACTTTAGTAATTCGAGTGTGGAGTGTGCACTGGGAACTAGAACCCCACACTCCTTGATTCCCCTGGCCATCTGGAACTACAAGAAGTAAGAAGCCGTCCCCAGAATGTGTAGTCAAGTTATCAAGGGGATTGTATAAAAATAATTTAAGAAACACTACAAGAAAAATTTAGTCCTCGGTTTCCTGAATTAAGAAGACAGGGGAGATCTGTCGTATAGAGGGCATCCCGGAGCTGGTCCTGAGTATAAGCAAGCGCCTGTACAGGAAACGCTTCCCGTGGGGCTGGGACATCGGGCTTATGCACTAGCACCTTGTGAGGCAAGGTTCTAGCAAAGAGAGAAGTCTTGAATTAATCTAAAAGCTATCAGCATGCTATGCAACATAGTGAAGGAACTATAGAGTGAAAATATTATAAAGAAGAATCTCTTTAGCTGAGAACACACAACTAGCCTATTGCCACCTTTCAAATGAATTCCATAATCCAATGCCTCTAGTATTCTGTCCTACACAAGCGCTAGATTCTTAAGTAGTTATCTATATATAAGGACGTGTCACCTCCCAGTCACCAGAATCTCTCAGAAAGGACAAAACATTGAAGAAGGGGGCAGGGGTAGAATTACTTCGGTCCTGGTTTGTTATTTTCTACTTAGCCGAGGGAAAGGGCAGCTGCTAGTGGTGCCCAAGGGAGACAAGCTTTCCTAGCTGCCATCTGCCGCCTGCCTGGCTCTTTCAGCCTGGAGGAGTCCCTGTGCACCGCATAACGCAAAGCTGCAGTAGGGTTGTATAACCTTGCTCGGGATGCAAAGCGTCTACCGAAAGCCGATCATAAAAGATCAACCAGGGCCTCCAAAACTAGGGGGACGTCGGGAGGGAGACGGTGTTGGACCCCCATCCCTGAGGTCAGCTGGGGGGCGGGGCTGTGAATTCCCAGAGGAGTCCAAAGCCGGTGGTTCAGCAAAGCAGAGCGCTAGACTCCGGAGTCTGGAGCAGGAAGGGGGATGCGGCAGCAACCTAGGGACTTTAGGGGAGTTCTCAAGTTGTGTCCCAGTGAAGTGCCAAGGACGTCCCCGCTCCTCTTTTCAGTTACGTAACTCTCACACTTTGGGTGGAATCTAACGAACTTACTCATTAAAGTAATTAAAGTAGAAAGTCTTTCCACGGATGCATGTAAAGGCGCTGGGTGGTGTCTGAAAAGACGTGGCTGACTGCCACCTGCAGAGAGGGTGGCATCTGGTGACTGTTCCCCACCGTACCCTCCTTAGGGTGGAAGCCGGGTGGCGGCGGATGGAGCCCTCCTTTCCCCATCTAGGAGTCACCCGGCGCGGGAGCCGCAGGTAAGCAGGCGGCCGTCGCCCTCCTCCCCACGGCAGACACCTAACCCAGGTTGTCGGAGAGATGAACGACCTCGGGGACCCCTGTCGCCCACTCCGAAAGGCCCGCGCCCTTCTCCCGAGGACTGACCTCCCGCGCCGGGAAGAGCCCGCAGCGGCGCTGGAAGCGCGCCACGAGCTGTGAATCCCGCAGGCTCCGCAGCAGCTCGGCCATGGTGAGCCGCGACCCCGTTCCTCCGAGCTGCAGCCACGCGCGTCCGTGTCCTCGGCGTGCGCCCTGGCCTCGCGTTCCGCAGCCCGATGCTCCCAGCGCAGGGCGGGCGGGGCGCGGCGCCCGCCAACAGGTGCGCCGCCCGGGTCCTAGCGCCCGCCCTGCACGGGGGCAAACCCAGGTGTCCACCACCACCTTGCACACGTCACCGCCCCCTTCCTAGCCAACCGGGCGGCCTCAATGCCCTGCCGGAGGGTGTGCTTGCAACTCCGTGGACGAGTCCACGTGCATGACCTACGCGCCGACCCCACTCCTTCGGGCTACTTCGGACCAATCACTAAGGAGGAGTTCACGCGTGCACCTGTCCTGCGCATCTTTCCGAGCGCTGCCGAAAGCCTAGAAGCATTGTGACCCTCTTTTCAAATCTGGAGTTCACGGTGAACACACGCGTCCCCCACATCCTACCCCCTACCCTAACCTTTGCCTGGTTTCTGCAAGACTTAATTCCCAGGGAGTCTGGTTCCTAGGGAGAATTCCCAGTGCTTTTCAAACTCGGCTTCATGCAGGCCAGTCACCTCTTTTAAACTTGTGCAAGAATAGCAGAAATGCGAAAAGTCAACTCGAGTGATGTTATAGAAAAAAAAAATCTCTCCTCTCTCCCACCCGCCGTGGTGTGTGTGTGTGTGTGTGTGTGTGTGTGTGTGTGTGTGTGTGTGGTGTCTTACTGTCTCTCTGTCTGTCTCCCTCTCCCTTCTTCCCACACCCCCCTCCCTTTTGGCCTTAGGAAGACTTTAGACACAAAGGGAACAAGGTGCTGAGCGACTACAAGGCGCCAGCCACTGCTTTAGAACAGCAAAGGAAACATCCTGCAGATGGTTTTTCCTGGGCTTTCCTAAACCTCCTTTCCGGGTCTCTGGGTCCTAAGATGACCTCTGGACCTCATTGCAGGGACTGAGAAGCAACAGTTAAATGAGGGCCAGGTGATTGGCCTGCAGCAAAACTATAATCCAGTCCTTAGTTGGGAGCAGAAGGCTGCGGGGGTGGGGGTTTCCTGGCTGCCCTTGTAACGCCAGCTATTTGGCTGAATAAAAAACTGTACATGAACACCTGCCGCCACCTTGCTTATCCATTTCTCCTTCTAGGCTGGGAGGTCTTTGGTTCCTGATATGCAAAGATGATGTGGTGCCCTTTCATCCCAGTTTTCCGATTTTCTTGCTCCTTAGTCCTATCTGGAGAATATGTCCAGGTGGCTAAGACAGCAGTGACTTGTTCAGAGATTCCGTTTTTCCTCTTTCAAAGAAGCATAGGGCTGCTGTTGCAGCCCTATGACGTCATACCGAATCGTGTGGCTGGGGAGGCAGTTGCCTCCATCTCCAGTGCTGCCGAGATTTTTTAAAAAGACGTATTTATTTATTTGTATGCATATGAGTACACCAAAAGTGGACATCAGACTGTTGTGAGCCACTGTGTGGTGGCTGGGAATTGAACTCTGGAGGAGAGGCCAGTGCTGTTAACTGCCGAGTCATCTCTCCAGCCTCCCCAAGGTTTGATTTTTTCTTTTTTTTTCTTTTCCAAGCTTTGATTTTTAACAGCTGACATTACAGTAGCTCCCAACCTGTTGCCTTTATACATTTAAAAAATGTTCTCCCATGAAGACCCTTGAATCTCATGTCTCCTAAATGTGTTGCTCCAACCTTTCTATTGAAGGAAAAAAAAAAGAGAGAAACAGAAACTTAAAACATGCCATACTTAATGTAGTACCAAGTTAGATTTCTTTCAGGTATGGCCTTTTGTCTTTGACTCAAGTTTTTAGTGATTCATGAGTCCTGAGATAAGTCACCGTGGTTTTTGTTTCCTTCTATGATGACACACTAATCTTCATTTGTTGTCTTTCTTAAGAGACTCTTGTGAAAATCTTCAGAGTCATCATGAGCCAGTTACAGCAATATGCACTGTGTCGAAGGTGCTGCTCTAACCCCTGTGCCTCCTTCCTTTGAGGCAGGCTCTCTCACAGAACCTGGAGCTAGGCTGGCTCTGCCCTTCACAGTGCTGAGGTTACAGATGCCACATAGCCACATCTTCGGGTCCCCATGGGCTCACAGCAAGTGTTCCTATTCAGGGAGCCATCTCTCTGACCCTTTGTATTTTATTTTTAAAGACATGGCTTTGTTATGTAGCCCAAACTGGCTTCAGATTCTCAAATCTGTTGGCCTCTGCCTGGTAAGTGCTGGATTCCAGGTATGTAGTATCATGTGCAGACAGTGGCATATGTTGAAGGAATCAATACTGGGTTTATTAGTTAGGGGTATGGTTAAGTTGCTATAATAAGCAGACCCCAAAAGACAGTGGTTCTAAGATTTGTTTCTCTTTGTTGTATGGCCCCATAATAGGGCTTGTAGGTAACTCAATGACTTGAGCTGTCTTCATCCAATTGCTTTCTCGAGCCCTGCTCTGGGATCACACCCTAAGTCTTTGTCCTGTTTTGTACAGCTCCTAAAAAGGAGCACATGGAGAGTGTCATTTTAACATTAAACAAGAGAAAGCAGAAGTTTATACTATTGGTAAAAATGTGCCCTTGCAATCTGGAGAGAAGCTCGGAGGTGTCACCTTTAGCAGGGAAGCCTACGTCTGGCTTAAATTTTATTTCTATGGAAAGAGAAGATGACAGCTCTATTTTATATCTATTTACTGTTTGTCCTTGAAAACTACCAGAAATCTCTACTAAAGTCTGGAAATAAAACATTATTCAAAGGACATAAAATAGGGAACCTGCAGTCAAAGTTGGTGACCAAAGTTTGATTCCCCAGGCCTAGATGGTAGGAGGATCTGTGCAAGTGCATGGTGTGCACACATATATAGGCTGGGATATGTATGTATGTATGTATGTATGTATGTATGTATGTATGTTTTTCAAGACAGGGCTCTCTGTGTAAACTCTGTAGACTAAGCTGGCCTCAAACTTACAGAGATCCACTCGCCTCTGCCTTTCAGGTATTGGGATTAAAGATTTGCATCACTATCGCCCATAAAGTATAATTTTTAAAATGTTATGACACATAAATTAATGTTATATATTGTCTGTCTAATTTTACTTAGGCAATCTGTGTTTGATTATATATACTCTAAATGCTTCTATCAAATTATTTTCAAATTTTTTCTTTAATTTTGAGAATTTCATAATGTATACAAGGAAATACGACCATATCTACATCTTTTTTGTTTGTTTGTTTTTTTGAGACAGGGTTTCTCTGTATAGCCTGGGCTGTCCTGGAACTTACTCTGTAGAGCAGGCTGGCTTCGAACTCAGAAATCTGCCTGCCTCTGCCTCCCAAGTGCTGGGATTAAAGGCGTGTGCCACCACTGCCCAACTCCAACTTCTTTCATATTCCCTATCCCTCTTAGTATGCCCTCCTGTCAGTATCCCACCATATATGTGTATATATATATAAAATCAGATACTGATGGGATATATATATGATGGAATATTGATGGGGTTATATATATATGATATTGTATATATATATATCATGTATATTAGTACTAACTGAAATATATATACATATGTGTATATATATATATACATACATACATATATATACACACACACATACACACACTGCCCATGTGTGCCCATGGGTATGAAGCCATTCACTGGAGCATGGAAGATACTTCTTACATTTTTGTGTAGGGGGGGTTTTTTGTTTGTTTGTTTTTTTGAGACAGAGTCTCTCTACAGAGTCCTGCCTGTCCTAGAAGTCTCTGTTTAGAACAGACCAGACTGGCCTTGAACTAACAGAGATCTGTCTCCCTTGCCATCTGAGTGCTGAGATTAAAAGTATGTGCCACTAAGTCCAACCAGATACTTCTTAAAAAAGAGACAAAATATTGTAAGGAACAAATGACAGATTTATATAACTTAAAAGAAAGGAATTAAAAAAATAATAAAGCTATCCTCACATTTTAATGAAAAAATAAGTATTATTTACCTGTGGAATCTTAAATTTTGATTTAGATTTCTCTCTTTAGAGTTGTCACTTTTAAACGGCAGTTAGACCTTGCTGTTTCATCCAGGGAGTGTTTCTTAGATCAAGATAGTTATTCAGGTTTGGTCTCTGTCTTAGTTATCTGTGGCTAAATAACAAATTTCCCCCAAAACACCTTGCAGTTTCTGGAGTCAGCACCCCATATGGATTTTAGCTGGGGCCTCTGGCTTAGGTCATCTCCACCCTGCAGTTCCATTTCAGTTGTATATAGGCTGCTGCTCAGAGGCTTCTCTTGCATCTGTCTTACATGCCCCTCTTCAGGGTACAACTGCAATATCACAGCCTCCCTTGCTTGCAGAAAGTGATCTGCAGAGACAGAAATTGAATCTTAACACTGTTCTACTCAGAGCTGACAATTAGAGAAGATCGTGGATTGACATCCTGTAAAAGATTGAAATTGCTTCCAGACAGAGAATTTTAAGGGGGAGGAGGTTGATGGCAGAAGGAGGTGGGGGGACTAAAGGCAGTCACATCCTGAATCCAGGTGATCAACCCCATCTGGGGGATTTGTGACATCTGTGCTTCTTCCCTTGTCACCTCTTGGATCCTTACCCTCATATTGTCACTGTGTGGGCTCAGGCACTTCTCAAAATATAAGTCAAGTCCTTTTCTACTGGTGTCAGTCTTGTCCTCCCCTAGGGGCATCAGGCAGGAAGGAAATTAGCATAGCAAGCAAACCATTAACAGCGTTTTTGTGCTAAGCCTTTAACAAATGGATGTGTAGATTCCTTTCTACACTATAGAGTGCAAGTGTTTCTTTATAACAGAATCTGACAGTATCCCTATCCATGCATAAAAGATAGCCCCGTGGTGGAGTGGTTGCATAGCATGTGCCTAACCCTGGGTTGCTCTGCAGAACCAAAATATTAAAACATTATAGAGCCCTAAGATACATGTTTTCAGAACACTCTACTGGACTTTTAAAGAGTGGTCTTTCTCAGGGACCGTGCCTGAGATGAT